TTTAAACGGGAGTTCCTTTTTGTCACAGATGATTCAGTTTACACCAGCTTCACCGTTGAGCGGATGGCGGTGCGGACTGGGAGGTCTGGAGTTACCATAGTGACACACCAGTCAATCTGGCAGTGACTGGATGGTGACTCACTATTGGCCGGTTTACTCTCTGAACAACACTCGCACGCCTACTTCCTCAAGAGGCTAACTGAATTTTACTTGGTAAATTAAAATTTGTAAAGAATGTAACAATAAAACTCAAAATAAGTCAAATATTGCAGGAAATAATTCACCAAAATAAATGTTCACCACAGTAATTGTTTTATGTGATTTCTTGTGTTCAGGTAAGATATTTAAATGTTGACTATTATAGGAACTTCAATCATTCAAAGGTCAGACTTAAAGGGTTAGCTCTGTTTTTATTTAGCACCATTAAATTCTTACAGAATTTAAAACTAAATATCTGCTAACATAGCATTGTATGGCAGTTTTAGTTGTTTAAATGGCTCGAATCAGCAAAGACAGTTAGTGTACATCTGATTAGCCATTAAATGTTAGCGCCCCTTCCCCACCTGTTGCCACACGCTGCTGGACAGCTGGCTGAAAGGAGACTTTTCCCTCGCTTCTTTCTATAGGTGAGACTAATTTGTTCGTTTTGAAATATTTCCAAAGCACGTAAACCGTCTGGACCGCCACCCATCAATCTGCTTTAAAACTACACTCAACACGTCCATTAAACAGCCAACAGCAAGTTTACGAACCAAACACATAGCATGACTAATTAATGAACTAACAAAGCTGCTGCACCACAACGCTGCACTGAAAAGAACAAACTCACAAAAAGAGGGCACAGTGCTGGCCCCTCTTCTCTTCACCCTGTACTCCTCTGACTTCCACTACAACTCGGAGCTGTGTCACATACAGAAGTATGCTGATGACACAGCCATAGTCGGATGTATCAGGGACGACGGAGAGGAGGAATATCGCTGTCTGGTGAGGGACTTTGCTCTCTGGTGCCACACAAACCACCTGGAACTCAACACCTCTAAGACGAAGGAGCTGGTTATAGACTTTGGGAGGTCCAGACCAAAGCCGAGACCATCGTACTAGAGGGAACGGAGGTTGAGGTCGTGGGCTCCTACAAGTACCTCGGGCTGTGGCTGGACAGTAAACTGGATTGGTCAAAACACACCAGCCACCTGTACGGGAAGGTGCAGAGCAGGATGTACTTCCTGAGGAGACTGCGGTCCTTCAACATCTGCAGCAAACTGCTGTGGATGTTCTACCAGTCAGTGATCGCCAGTGTCCTCTTCTACACCGTGGTGTGCTGGGGAGGCAGCACATCCAAGAAGGACACGTCCAGACTGGACAAACTGATCAGGCGTGCCGGCTCTGTGGTCGGCATGAAGCTGGACTCTCTGGTGACGGTGGCAGAGGCGAGGACACTGAACAAACTGCTGGACATCATGGACGATAGCAGCCACCCTCTACACGCCGTCATCAGCAGCCAGAGGAGCCTGTTCAGTGACAGACTGCTGCTTCCCAAGTGCCGGACCAATAGATTCAAGAACTCCTTTGTCCCCCACGCCTTCAGACTGTACAACTCCTCACTGGGGGGTCGGAGGTGACACAGGACAGAGGGAAGAAGGAGTAGTTTTTCTACAAATGTGAACTCCATATTTATCAGGCCAAACCATACAGTGCAATACCATATCACTGGTCAATCTATCGACCAAATTGCTATAATTTCCTTTTGTGTTGTATTTATATTCTTTGTTTTGTATTTAATTTGTATTTTTTTGTATTTTGTGTATGCTTACTGTGTGCCACATTTTTGCCTGTGAGCTGCTGGTAACTATAATTTCCTGAGGGAGTCTTCCCAAGGGATCAATAAAGTCAAGTCTAAGTCTAAGTCTAAGAATAAGACAAATAGATGAACGGTAAGCTGCACATAGTGGGCATGCATCCAGTTGTTTTGCTTTCGCTCATGTATTAAACTGTCAACAATTATGTCAATATGTTAAGCTGTTAACTGACCACGCCCCTTTCTTACCGCCAGGTAACAGGCTAATCTGAAAACATGTTCATTTTTCCTCTTCAAAATAAAAGCTCATGTCACACTTTTCCATTAAAGATATTTGTGTAAATGCTGTGATTCTCTTGAGTTTTCAATCAATGTTAATACAGCATAGGACGAATGATGCTACACAGATGAACGATGCTTTAAAACATGTTTCAATATCTATGAAACATTTATTCTATATAAAAATAAAAAAGGAGATTTTTATATTTGCTGGCATTAGTTTTATTGAGTTTGTGGCTTGTTAAACCTTTAAAACTTGAGGATTCAATTATTATCCATTAATATTTTAAAATCCTCTAATTCTAATGAATCTCCTGTTTTCTTGTATTTCTAAAACTAAATTACCATTAACTTTTACCACTATAAAAACACTCCCTTGTGCTTGCACTGCCTATATTGGTGACTAACAAGAATGAATTCAGGAGCGCTTGACTGAATGTAATGCAATCAAGATTTAATTAGCTGCATTTGTTAGCTGTTGTGTGCTTCTCTTGTTTTCCGTCCTCAAACTGCAGGTCTGAATGTTCTGGCGACAGACACTCCTGCGGGGGGTTTCGTAAACACCGAACTTTCTCTGTAGTCTTCTAACACCAATATTTCGTAACCTATGAGTGCTTCTGGACACTCTGACATCTGCTATTATTCCCCGTAGCCTGGTACATGTACTTTGGCTCGGCCGAGATAGCATGCAGGTCCTCCTCTCTCACACACCCAGGGGAGATGTGCTTCTACTCAAAGCCCCGCTTCTTCTCACAAGCCAGTTTTCAGAGCATTTTTAACAAATTATGCTTTTAAAAAGTAATGGAAACGAAATGGGCCATTTCGGAGAGTGGTGGGGATGTGCTCCCAGGGTGCCCCGGTCTAGATGACACCCGTGTTGGCACACCAATTTTACCATTTCAGCCAAGCATGGCTAACAACGTCTCGGTGACAGTTCAGGGTTCTTTCCTAATGTACAAGTTGAGTTTAGCTGTTTATTTTAATGCAGTATTGCTGAAGATAAAAGAGAGGAGAAATCACATACAGTGTTCTGGGGGAAATTTGGTTTTTGGGCACCTGGAGATAGAAGTGGGCATTTATCGTATCGCTTATCACTTATCGTGATAAATTTCTTATCAGGATATACATTTTGATGCATCGTTGTCACAATAAATTCCAATTAATTTGAGTTTAAAAATTCCAAAACTTGTTTTACCGTTTCCTCCACAGTTGGTCCAGTGACACAATCAACAGTTTCTAGGTGCAAATCGGTGACAGAAATCACACGAGATGAAATGTGACTGGTGTCCTAAAGAAGTGCATTACAAATGGGAATGTTTTTCAGGAGCAGTATTTATGTTTGTTGTGAGTCGTGAACTCTGACCTTAACTGAGCTAAGTGAAGTCTGCAGTGCTTTACATGTTGTTCTGGGTTCTTTTGTGACTTAATCTCTATTGAGTTCTCGGAGTAATTTTGGTTGGTCGCTCACTCCTGGGAAGATTTACGTTTGTTCCAAGTTTTCTCCATTTTTGAATCTTAAAAAGTGCCAATGAGTTTGTCTTCACATCTAATCTTGAATTTCTTTACAATTGGGCATGATGTGTTGCTTTTTGTGATATTTTAGCTTCCTTTATGCTGTGAGACAAGTTTTATTTAGGTGATCTCTTGGTTTCACAGGTTTATTCTGTATTCTTATTCTGAGTCTTGGTCAAACCGAACTGTTTAAGGCTGTTTTATCACCTGCTGTGTCGGACTCGGTTTGACTGAGGACCAAAATTGTAACATTAGCTACATTTTCAGCTGGTGTGGTTCTCATTCACATTGCAAACAATTGAAACCCTTGACATAACCTGTTCACCTCCTCTCCCGTTGTGGCGCTGCACCAAGAACTACTGAAGGAAAACGACACAAAAACATCAAAAGACATGAGAGCAACTTCTTTCTTCACAACAAAACTGGAGTGACATCAGATTGTTGTAGGATTTCTCTTTTGCCTTTGGTAAAAGACCATGTGCCATTTCTCCTGCTATCCCTAGACTCTGGTTTTTATTGCATTTGCCCAGAATGCCCTGTGTCATAGTCCACTTCCTGCTTTTGGAGCAGGACCCAGTCTACTTGCATCTACATATTCATTGAAACACCTTCAGAGCTCCCTGTAGTTGGACAGAGACCTGGGTTTGTGGCGGATGAAAGTTTGCTTTTTTTTAGTAAGCATCAGAATTCAATTACGCATTCACACCTTTTCAAACTTTCTAGACAAAACGAAATAGAGTTCAATGTGAATGCACCCAGAGAAAGATGACGTTCATCACAGTTAAGTCATTGTTTATCAACAAGAGGCGACAGGGTATGCCTCTTTTTCAACAAGACACCACGTTGGTATGGATTGTTTTTTTTTCCATGAACAAATCATCATTTGAAAACGTCACATTATTTGTACTCAGGTTATTTTGTCTGATATTAGAATGTGTATAATGACCTGAAACATAAAAGTGGAACAAAAGAAAGACAGAAGAAATTTGCAATGAGGACAAACAGTTTCTTCCACAGCACTGTACACAGACACAATCTCCCCTTTCCACTCCAGTTGGAAATGTCACAGTCCATCGGGCAAACCTCGAAGCGGAAAAGCAGAGACGTTGAGTGCAAGACGCGCTGTGAGTGAACACAGAGTGAAACTGAGTGAAAAGTTGTGCACTTTCCGAGCATGGATAATGCAAACATACAAATGCCTCCACCAGGCGCAGCGGACAATTGTGTTTTCTTTGATTAAACTACTCTGATCACGAGTTATATCGATGACAAAAATGTGTTTGCCAAAACAACAACAACAAAAAAACAAGAAAAAAAGAGTCATGTCCTGACGTGTAAACTACAAACATAATGTCACACAAATAGATGCAGCAAATCCACATGTGCATGCAGAGTGTTGACAACAAAAGCTTACCCGCCCAATGAGCACCGGCTCGGGCCCTCGGTACTCCTCGATCACAAAGAACTGGTTCCAGAGCCAGCTCCTGCGGCGACGGGGGCTCTGGCCCCACTGAGGGTCTTCAACCCGTTCAGAGCCACCCGGAGTCCTTCCAGGCTGAACCTCACCGACTCCGTTGGCAGAGTACGCCTCTTCCTCTGAACTTGGTCCCAGATAGTCACCATCAACCACACCGCCATCATCCCCGTCACTCAAAACGTTCCTTTTGCTCCCCAACTCAGTGACTTCTGTTCTAAGTTTAGACACATAGGATGTAGCAGAAGTTTCAGGGCGGCTCAGTGTGTCCCTTTTGTCGGCCGGGTGTTTGACACTGAGTTGGAAGGCCAGGAGTGGCACTGGTGTTACGTCAGCCTCGGCATCGGGGCCGTGTCTTCCCGGCTCTTTGATTCGCTCAAGCAAGACGTCCGCGGACCCCAGGCGAGGTAAGACTTGTTGCTTTTTGCCTGACGTCGCACGCATGTCCTCGTCTCCCTCTGAAAGGCCGGCGGCCTCCGGGACGCCGCCGCCTTCCCCCCGACAGAAGAAGAGGAAGAGGAGCGCCACGCGCGGCACCGCAGCCAGGCGTCCGCGCATCATGACAGCTTTACTCCAGCTGCCTCTTCCCGACGTCTGCGCCTCGCCGCTCCTCAGAGCGCGCCGCCTTCATCTCGGATGTTTTCCTCGCGCATTTCCATGCGGCGCACATGCTTGGCCGGGATCACCTAAGAGAGGAGACATAATTAGCGCGACGTGGAGCACGTTCATTAATGTGGCTCGCGAGCGCTTCCAGACACACGGAAAAAGACGCATAAAAGTTGACATCTTACTCATTATCTGGCGCAGAGGGAGGTGTGGGGAGGAGAGTGGGGGGTGTTTGGTATTTTAACCCTCCATTCATCTCTACATGAATGTTTCTCTGCTGTTTGTTGAGCAGCTTTGTTTGCTCATCTGAGCACTCTGCCAGCTGCAGTAAAAATAGCAGTGCTTTTCTTCTACAGAGTGGTGCAATAAGAACGTATCCCCCACCACCACCACCTCCACCTCACTCTTACAAAAAGAGAAAACGGGGAAGAGCTACTTCATGCTGTCGCAGGTGGATCTCGCTCTTGATCTCATCGGCAGGCGAGAGAGATAAGTGTGAGGACTTTGAATTTTTCAATTAATTTCGAGCCCAAGGGCCCGGCGAAGAGGTGGAGCTCAGGTACTTTACTGCGCCTTGTCACACACAATGGCCTGGACAGGAATTGATTGATGCCGTCCCCCAAAGACGGCCCCCCGCATGCTGCAATGCCCAACAGAGGAAGAAGTTCCCCCTCCAGAGATTAATTAGGCTCATAAATAATGTAATCGATGACTTGCTCTTATTTCCCAAAAGTTTAATGATCTCCGTTTCATTTGCATGCGTGCGGGCCATTGATCTGTGAAGCTTGATGCAGTGGAAGGCGTCAGTAACTAGACTCAACTGAAAATGCATGATTGCACTTTCTCTCTCTCCCTACCCCATTTTGTCCCATGTGCATCCATCACTCTGCCTTACGTTTTCCCTGCATGAACAGAATAATCCTGGCATCTGCTTTCACCTTCGTGCACATGATGGAAGCATGCATTGTAATTTCCACAGAGCTAAAGCATATGAGTCATTGTATTATTCAGTCACATCTTGTGTTTTTTCAGTTCGACGTGGTGCGATGTTCAGGAGTGATTCTGATACAGATGAAGCATCTCTGGGAATACTTCATGTGGTCAATCTCTTACATTTCTTGGGAATGGCACACAATCTGTGGCTTTTGGAGACACTCGAACCCATAAAACAGAATCACTTCAAAGGCTGTCAGAAATATCTTCGTAACCCAATCCAGGCTGTTCGTTTATCATGTGTCATTAAATATTTGAGATCAGGCACGATGTGGAGCTCTTTGAGCATGCTTCATGCTGTCAGACAGGTCCAGTTCTTGTCTTTCCAGACCTCGGGCGGTAAGGTGTGAAACTGAACCAAGCGTTTCATAAAAGTTCATTTTCCGCCACTCCTGACTTTGGAGTAATGTGATTCCAGGCTGCTAAAGCGGTGGAAATGGACGGCGAGGTTTTTGGTCGTGATGAGGATGTCGCTATGTGTGATGAGAATCACGGGATCCGTTGTTTTCAGTTTGCAGTTTTTCAGGTTTTTTTTTTTTTTCAAGCGTATAACTCCACCCCACAGTTTAAGTACATTTCTATTTTGTCCACCCTTCTATTTTTTTAAGGGTGGACAGTACTTTATGTAGTCTGAAAGTCCGCTTTTTGTATTCATTCAGTTTTTTTGTTGTTGACTATAACATGACAGATACTTTCCCCATACACAGCAGCAACAAAGACTGACATGGCATAGGACGTGGTTCCTCTCATGTCTAGATAAGCCTGTGCTTTGATTCTCTTAGAGGCCGAGCGTCTCTGTACAAGTGCAGCAGCCTTTGATAGTAGCTACAGCATAATGAGATCCATAACACAGTCTGATTTGTCCAATTGAAACGTTGGAAATGAAACGTTCTCTTTTCTTTTTCTCCAGACACTGACCCACTTGAAACAAGTGGGCATTTGATAGTGAGGTATATGAAGAAATTATTTCTGCCATTCCTGCTTTGAATTCTCTCTAAAGGAAACCCACCTTTCACTTCCCCTCTTTTATTTTTCTTCTTTTTTTTCACATCTCACTTCATTACGCGCGCCAATTACACAAGCCGTCCACATGTAATGCCTGATGTTCTACGTCTGGTTGCCAGCATCTTAAAAAAAATAGAAGTGAAAATCGCTGAAAAGTCCAAGAAGTGGCTCTTCCAAAATACTTTTGTCTTCCCCAGCTATTGTGCATTTGCAGGGACTGAGCTCGCGGCGTACGTTCCTCTCTGCCAGCTTTACTCCAAAGCCCACGTTGCCAGCAGTACGTGTCATTCAGCGTTGTTTGAAGTCTTTAGAGATGTGTGTGTGTGTGTGTGTCTAGTGTAAGGCAAGGAAAGAGGATGAAAGCGCGAGGACGATTTGCTGTTGCTGGCTGGGAATGGAATGATGAGTGGTGACATAGCTCCAAATTGCAAATCGCTGTTTCAGTCTCACTTCCACTCTGCATTGAGTCGCTTCACTGCAACAAGGCTATTTCATTTTTATTAAAAATAGCCTGTGCATGTCAGGCCTTTTACGAAGGGGATGGGGGCAGGAGAAAAAGGGGAAATGAGAGCTGTGGAGGGAGCAAAGGGGGTGAGTGGTGGTGAAAGTACTTTGGAATGGGGGTAGGAGTGTGTTGAGGGGGTCAGGCTCTGCTCCATTTGCACATCTCCTGCTTTTTTTTTTTTTTTTCCCCAGCCTCTACCATTCGTCTTAATGCCCTCAGTCCTCTCATCCATCCCCACAGACTCTTCCCTCCTCAGTGCACGCGGGCAAATCTCTTAAGTCCATCCAAATCGGACGGGTGAAGAGAGCCACACTGTACTCAGCACATCAGTCTCCTCATTATTGTCAAGGCTCGACACTCAGACAGCTTAAGTGATACAACAGCAAACTCATTGTGCTGACGAAGTGTTCAGTCGAGTACTTTATTTGTCAAATAAAACCGCCTCCACGCCTAAAAGGATGATATACCTACAGTGCTCTGCACTTGATCCCCGAACATTAGAACCGCAAACTTCAATGAACTTTATTGGGTTTCTCATGTGATAAATCAATTCAACACAGTAATAGGGAGTATGTTTGGGGTGGAAGAAAATGATAAAAGCCTTTTCTCTCTCTCTCTCTCTATAAAAAAGTGTAATGTGCACTCATTTGTTTGCGTGTTTTCACCTTCCCTTCAGTCTGATGCCCTTATAAAATCCAGCTCAATCAACTGAGTTCATAAGTGCCTAATTAGTAAATAGTCCAAGAGTGAGCAGAATAAATCTAGCTGTTCTCTGAAGTCCTCAGAGGTTTTGTTCGTGAACACAAGTACAAAGAAACTACAACCTGAAGAACAAGGAACGAAGCAGACAAATCAGGGAGAATTTTAAAGCGAGGCTTTGTTCTAAGTGAACGCGGAGCTTTGAACATCTCACGGCGCAAACATCGATCCACCGTCCAGCAGTGGAAAGGGTATGACGCAAGTGCAACCCGACCAGGACATGGCTGTCCACCTAAACCAGCCAGCCGGGATAGGAGAGCATCAATCAGAGAAGCATCCAAGAGGCCTGTCATAAGTCAAGAGGTGCCCCAACGAACCCCCAACTGAGCTGACGCAACGACTATTTATAAAATTCTCAAATCTAGATTTCATGGAGGAGAGAGGCAAGAAGAACTCCATAGCTTGAAGAAAAACATTTGCAGTTTGCAAGAAGCTGCAGGGAGCACGTCAGAGTAAGGCGCTCTGCTCGTATTAGACTTAAATGTAACTTTTTGTCCTTCAAGCAAAGCAGTATGTGTGGAGGAAAGTCAACGTCTTTATAGTGAAGCACGGAGATGGCAGCATTATGTTACGGGCATACTTTCCTTCTGCAGGAGAACAAACTGCTAGAAGGAGGAGGTTAAATATTTCGGTAATCGATTATCCTGATGATTAGTTGATTGATCGGATAAATAATTATCACATTTTGCAGTTTTCATTGGACCACTTAAGACTTCTTTTTAAATACAATATTGGAAATACAATGAAACATGCAGACAAGCAGTTTTACAAATTAAAAAATACAAGAAACATTTTGCAGCCTGTAGATAAATAACACAGCCTCCCTGTGTTTACACTTGATTGTTTATAGCAAAGGATCCATATGCAGTCCAAAAATAATAATCATTGTTATATCAACACATGAAAAGCTCAAGCCTTTCTGCTGAATTAACATCAATATAGTGTCAGGCTGATCTGTTGATTAGTTTTTCAATTAACTGGTTAATAATTGGATACCTAAAGGTTCTTAATAGAAGATTTGTTTTGCAGCTAGTGAAGCTAAAGCTATGCCACTTGAGGAGCTCTGGGTAAAACATATTTACAGGCAAAAAATGTTTCATCTTGAATGCAAAATGTGCACATTCTGGTTCAGGTTGGGCTCAATTACTGCTCTTAGTATGTTGTTCTTTCATCAGATGGCCTTTTTTACAGACCACATACGCAGATTAATCAGCTAAATTATCTGATTAATCGTTTCAGACCTATGTAAGGATGGAAAAGTCAAGGTCCAGATGTCCGATTTGAAAACATATGCAGATGCTATCTGTCCAATCTGACTGCTCTTCAACTACTTTGAAATGTCTATATAAAAGGATGAAAGAGACAAAATCCAAACGACCGGCACCAGCAACCGCAACAATGGGAGGTTCTGTAAGCATTGAGGGGGGGTCCGAATACTTCTTCTGCACCCCACACTTTTCAGATTCTCATTTGAAGAAAAATGTTTAAGCATATTGATGAATCCAATTGCTTTGCATTTAGGTGCCATTTTGAGTTGATCTAGCACATAAAATCCCAACAGAATTCATAAAAGTTTGTAGAAATAATGTAACAAAATTTGGAAAAGTTTTATTTTTTTTAAACATGGCACAGTAAAACAAAGGACATTAAATATCCTAAAGCACACAATGCCTCACTGCAGCCTCTGGGTTACACACCAAGGCCCCCTGAGACTGACACACACACACAACACACACACACACACACACACACACACACACACACACACACACACACACACACACACATACAGTCACTTGTGAACCATTATTAGCATCGTGATACAATGAACAGGCCCCCGGAGCGCGACCTTGTCTTGTTAGAGCAAACCGGGAAAACGACCTACTTGATGCAAGTTAATGTGATTAAACACACTCGGGCTAACTGTTATAATGAACGCGACGTCCTAAAAACGCAGCTGTCGGCCAATGACCGGCGTCCACTCGCTCACTGAGGAAGCAGCGGCGGCGGCGTCTTTTTTGGAGGAAAGTGATAAAGTGAGCAGGTGAGAGGCGCGCGCGCGCACGGATGGCAAGCTCGCGCGCTTCCGTACTCACACACACACACAAGGGTTTGCCAGCGGCTAAACCAATGCACGGCTAAACCGAGCCGCCTGTCGGACGCTGGCGCTCCGCTCACGGAACCAAACACGACAGTTCGCGTCCTCTCAGCCGACTGACGTGTCACCGCAACAGTTCGCACGTGCTGGTGGAAACCGACGCTGCGTCCTGTGCTCCAGTTCAAACTGACGGCGGAACACTTGTGGACCGCCCCCTGGTCCAGGCAGGAGCCCCGGCAGACACAACAAGCGAGCCTCAGACCAGACGAGCGCCTGCTGGAAACTTGCCACCTCACTGTGAGCATTTATTTGATTTATTTTTGAAGAAAAGAAGTGATTCATTAGGGGACGGGAGAGCTTACCGTGTGTTCCGCGGCGGAGTTCCTGCGGTTTAACGCGGATGAAATGAGTCCAGCGGGGGCTGAAGAGGGAGAGGGAGGGCCAGAGGGGGGATGCTGAGGTTCATGCGAGCTCAACGTGAAGTCTGTCCACTTAGCCCGGTCTCCCTCACGCTCTGTCTGCCTCTCGCTTCCTCCCTCGCTGTGCGTTTCCACCTCCCTCCCTCTCTCTCTCTCTTTCTCTTTCCTCGCTCTCCATTAGTTTGTAGCTGCCACAGAAAAAGAGCCGTAGTTACTCTAAAAGCCTTCTATTCTGGACAGATGTGACCACTGAGTAACACAGACAGGGTAAACAGTCTCACGTCAGCCATAAATGCCCGTTTTAATTGGTTGCGGGTTTCATTGTTTGTTTTTTCTATCTGATAACTCTTATAAGGTCTTCATCGCTGCAACCTGTTTGTGGATCAGATGTATAAGACAGCCTGTGAAGATCTTGTCTTCAAAGTTGATGTAAAGGATGGAGGGAAAATGCGCCAGCAGAAGGATTTGAGTGAGTCAGACAATGTCTAAATTGTGATGGACATCCCTGATGGTCCTGCTCTGCAGCAGTCAGGGTCCATCAAATGCGACTTGAGGGAGCCCGACCCGGATTAGCTACTGTCAGGCGGGGAAAGAAGCCGGTTCTGATCGAAAAGTGTCAGAATGGAGAGTGGCTATTGTATTTTGACAGACCTGTCAGGCTGTCCATGCTAACCACTGGACGAGCAGCAATGGAAGTTTTTTGTTTGGCTTTTACCTGCCAAACACATGGCACCAGAAGACACACTATGAGGGGAAAAAGGCAAACTGGCAGAGGAAATGTTTGGGAAACAGCGTGTCTGTCCTTCTCTGTGCTTCAACACATATGATGTAAGCACTACTGCGTACGCCCTCTCATGGAAAGGTTTGCCCTGAATTCCATTGGTCCTTGCAGCAGGAAAGTGGTTCCTGCAGCAAAATACATTTCGGGAATGGTTTAGAGACAACAATGAGGATGTGGTGCCGACTTGCTCTCCAGGTTTCCCAGATTTCAAACCGATTATCTTCAGTTAACCAATGCGATTCACAAGGCGCCGACTCACAAGTTATGGGACTTGCTGCTTACATCTTGCTGCCTGACACCTTCAAGGAGTTTCTACAAGAGTCCAAACAACAAGTGGCAACAAACATGGGAGCGGGAGCTGTTTGGCCTGATTATTGTATGTTTTCCTTAATGTTCTGCTGTGTCTTAGAATCCAGTCCAACGCAACCCGGGCACAAAAATCATGATCTGAAACTTTGCACTTCTCCTATTTCTACCCTTCTCAAGCATCGCCAGAAAATTGGCACTTAGTTCCACATTTAAGGGTGCAGTACGACAAACGGCTTTCTGAATTTGCTTAAAAGATGTCATCTGGTTGACTCTAATTATCCCTCTTGTCAAGCTTTTGTGCTGCATCCTATTTTAGGAGTGGACACTTCAGTATCGCCATGACTCACGAGCAGACGGGGAAGATTCTCAGCACAATTGGCTGTATATTCCTGTGGCAATAATATTTGGCGCCCACACCAATTTATTTCATCTAAATGATTCATTTAGTTAATCTTAGCACAGTAGAGATAAAGTACAACCTCTTTCAAATTTAATGGCCAATTCAGTTTGAGAATTTTTGGGTCACTCTGTTGCAACATAGCTTCAGTTAATTGAAGGTGTCAGCCTATTTTTGCACGTCTCCCTTACAGTATAATCCAACCGCGGCCTTTCAGTGGGCTTAAAGCTACGACTGAGTCAAACGCAACATCTTCATCATTTTCGTTGTCACCTTTGTACACCCTGGCCTTGGTGTGAATTTGCTTGGACATCCACGGCTTTCAGCTGTGAATAATCTCACTGTAGATTGTAACTGGGATTATAGGAGAATGACCTTATTAACCCTTCCCAGGTTTATGGGCAGCAACCGTTGCTTCTCTAAATTCATAGCCGATACCTTTCCTACTTGGCACTGTGTTAAGCCACACCTGTATGCTTTTACAGTGACAATCACACTGACAATTATCAGCTTTTCAATTGCATTTCATCTGCAGCTTGTCTCTGCCAACATATTGGGTTGCTTTGTGTTTAATCTATAATGAAATATTTTGTGTTTTTGTCATGAGGAAAAACTCGGGTACCATTGAAAAGGCCTCGGCGCAACACTACTTAAGAATGCTGTACCTTTAGAAAGTGCAGTCTTGACCAGTCAAGATTGATTAAGTCATTGCGGCGACTGGGAAACTAGCGATCCTCAAAGGAAGTCACAAAGAGATGGCATAACCTTAAGGGCCCTTGTCAGATCTCTTGTACCCAGCAGTGGGCAGAGGTTTATTAATGCCAAGTACAGAGCAGGCACAAAGTGAAGTGAAGGGTTTGAGAGTGGACTGTGCTCAACATATTCAGCGCTCATCCCTTCGATTTTGTTGGGAGACTTCTCCTGTTCATCTGATTTTTAAACCCAAGTCTTTTCAATCTTTAAATGAGTCTTTTCCTACCACAGCTCACAGCTTTCAAGACTGAACCATCTGTTTTGTTGCTATGCCTTCCAAAAGTATGCACACCCCTTGACCTTTTTCCTATTTTGCTCTGTTATGCTCTATTACGCCATATGGATCGCATTAAAGCTCTCTGAATCGTAACATTTTCAGTGTTGGCTGGATGTGAACACCAGATTTCAATTCTTGCCACAAGTTATCATTCGGATTGAGGTTTAGCTGTTCACAGGCAGGTTGTCTGTAACCCTGCCAGAATCAGGTGTCATCTCTAGATTAATCTAAATCTATGTTATTCCCAATCTATGTTATTCATCCAAACTGTATGTCAGGGTAGTTAGCAGGGTGTGTTTTCTGCCACATACTGCATATTACTTTGTGTGCAGGCCAAAACGTGGCATATCGGTCCCACCTGACCGGAGCACCTTCTTTCACTTTTGCTGTATAACCCCTGGAAAACCGCAAACAAGACTTCTTCAGGATTTTTTTTCCTCAAAAATGGCCAATTCTTGTCGAATCCAGAACGAATAGTTGCCCAGTCAACTGAAGTTTGTGCTTGTTATGTGACAAAATGTGAAACATTCAAGAAGCGTGAATGTTGTTGCTGTATTCCTTTTTTTTTTTTTTTTTTTAAATGCTTGTGCTCAATAATCCCTCCATTATTGGTCGCCCAATGGTGGTTATCATAGATCAGATGGGTGAATAATGCTTCTCCTTCTCACTCTCACAGATGCAGTCGATCAGACGTTGGTTGGAGAGGACATCGTCAGGCATCCTTGCGTGTGATTTATTTTACACTGTTAATAGCGTATAGACACGCTGAGTGCACACATATGGATATGTTCACCACTTAAATTTTTGTCACACACAATAAATCAAAAATACTTATAAAGTAGCTCATCGCATCTTCATGGGAAAACAGATTCATGCAACGCTTGCCCGTGTGCCATAAAACGCCTCCCGTGTGGGAACCTCTAGGCAACTATTTTCACTAGAAATTCAAGAAGGTGTAGTTTCACGATAGGATTAACCACCCAATTTCTTTCGCCGTCTTGCCGCAGAGTCGTCGTCATTTGAATAATAATAACTTGTATTTATGAGCGCGGCGCTCACACAAAACGAACAGGCAAGTTCAGCCAAATCTCATTTATCCATTAATTTATTGACGCGTCAACGAAAATTCAGAAGTGTTCCGACAGTAGGCACAAATCAGTTTTCAGCTGCTGCTCTTTTATTGCAGGAGTTAATGTGCTTCCCCCCCACACACAACAATACATCACGGGCCTCAACTTGAGGTCCTCACACTACTCATTGTCTTCTTTCTCTCTTGTTTATGTGATTAAAGCACATTAAGAGGTAGGTGGTAATTATCCCAGATGAAATGATTTATAATCCTTTAACATCTACATCAAAATGTCAGCCAGCAGCGCTCAATGCTGCAAGAGCACTTTTTTATCAGCACTGCAAACAAAACATTAGCTGTTTTATTAAATGGAATGATGTGCATGCCCAAATCTTCGGAGAGATAGCCTGGAGGATGCAAATGCCTGTCTTGTTCATTAATTTAGTATTTGCTCCAAAGATACAGCTTTGTTTCTCCAAAAGGCAGCCCGGTGTTTGCTATTCTTTTTCTACTGATGTTCCCTTTTGTTTGCTTCTCGTCTTTACCCTGACAAAGTCCCGCCTCGTCTCTCCCTTTCAAGTCGTCGTCTCTCTTTTTCCCTGTAATACTCCTCTTTCAAGTCCTCGCGCGTCCTACGAGTCCATCCTTTTGAGGTGACATGATAGACGTCCACGGAGTTCCCAGAGTATGCGTCCCTGTGGGTGGCCCTGTACACAGCTTCCCTCGCTATTGATGTGGCCTCCTCCACAGTCAGGCTCCACTGAACCCCTTGGTCTAAGATGGAGTAGGCGTAGGGTGATCCTGAGCCCACAGAAAAGAGGGATCCCTCCAGGCGAGTGCCATCGCTGCATACATAAAACAGACTGGGACCAGAGAAACTTTTTTTTCTCCTGGAACACTGCTGCTTTGTGAAAGAAGAGCTTTGAGTCTTGGAAACAGAGACCTTTTCACCAGGGGCACCCGCAGTCTTTTCCAGGTGAGCCTTTGTAGTCTCTTTGCTGTCACCGTGATCCGACTCTGAGCCTTCGTGGTTACGACATCCATCATCCGGCTCTCCTCCGTCCCACCCACACAGCGTGGCAGCCACGCAGAGCTCGGTTCCCTTGAAAGGGTGCAGCATGTGCGAAAGCAGCTTGGCGGCACCCCTCGTGGACAAACGGCGTCCGTAGCGAAGCTGGTAGAGGCGTAGCTCTCTGGAGAGGATCCGTTTCCAAAGTGCGCAGTCGGCCGAGGTTCCCGAGGTGGTGCCCACCAGGTGGCTGTGAATGGGCAGGATCTTCTGGGAGGCCGGGCACGCCACGAGGCCCGAGCAGCTGGAGCGAGTGTCTGCCGCAGCCAGGACGCCGCCCTGGAACATGAAAGCGAGGGTGGTGGTCCCATGAGCCATGGGGAAGGGAAGCGGCACAGCTTGAGAGGAAGTGAAAGGAAGACTTTCAGGCAAAGAGGACTGGATTGGGAGCATTTCTTGAGATGGGATTCCACCTGAGCTCTGCATTATGCTGATTTGCCCAAACTGTATCGGGCTCTCATCCAGGTAACCCGCTTCTGGAATATAAAAATGGAATAGGCTCGTGCTGTTGCTCAAGGCCGCACCAGTTGCATAGCTACAAGATTTCCTTTTCCCACTTGGCATTACATTTCTCGCAGCGCCTACACTCTCCTGAAAGATATCTCCAAAATTGCACAAGTCCTGCAAAGCCATTGAATAAAACTTTCAAAGTTTTGAATGCCTTGAAAATAATTCCTCAATGCTCTTCTAAAATATCTCGCCAGCGCTTTGAAGCCCTCAGTCAAATGTCAGCGGTCTAATAGAGACTGTACATCTGAAGCCCGCGGCGATGCTTGCAGTAATCATCGTTTATATAGACAAGAAGGTCGGGCTCATGTTTCTGTGTGGTCACTCAAACAACCCATCCGCATCATTACCAATGTTTCATTCTCTTTGAAACACATGAAGTCAATAGCCCATGGGTAATTAATTTTGGCTGTGATATCAGGTTGTTTTTCACATCAGATTGCTTCAAAGTCTTGTGTGGGCGTGGGCCAAAGAGAGCGTGGGGTGATGTTGAAGCCTCGGCTTGAGCACTTTAAATTAACTCCGACTCTTTGATGCGGCAGTCCTAAGGATCAAATCCCTGTTAGAATAACACACGATGTCAATGCGAAGCTCCGTGGCGGTGCTGCACAGACGAGCCTTTTCCAGCACGGCACTTTCTCTTTAGCGCTGATTCACACTGAACCTTGAACCTGCCACACCAGCATATCAGGTAGTGCCGCATTTTTCAGGGTGTGTGCTGCAGTTTGTCGGAAACGCAGCCGGCAGGTGTCGGATAGCCAGAGGAAGCTTCGTTTGCCGATCAGAGAAACAATGAACCGAAAGTTTAAATATTTGTTTTCATGTCCCACTTTGCTCTAACCCCCTTTCACCATGACTCGGTTTCACACCAGCGATTCTGGATTTGCCTTCACTGCTTGTTTCCTGTTGGTAAGCAACTTTGTCTCACTTTACCTCCCTGACGTCGGCTGTTGAATATGAAACTAAAATTAGATTTGATCAGTTTCTTCATAAACATATTAGATTCTTTAAAGCATCTTTAACAGAACTGTTCGTTTTAATAATGTTACATTCAGTCATGAGTAAACACACATGTGAAAGTGACTGATAATAAGTCACACCCACCTAAATGTGTCGGTATTCCTAAATCTAAATGTTTTCTGTGACTTTAAAAAAAGATTTTTTTAACGTTGCTTTTAAGTTGTTTTGATCTCATTATGTGTTGGTTTACTGTCCACAGTGTTATTTCACACTTCAGGAAGCTGCTGTCAGAGCCCAGCTGAACTTCCTAAAATAATGCCCAAAGTCATTTTTGTCAAAAGTCACTTCATTTTTTTGTGTGCCTAAAACATATTTTGGAAATACAGAGGTGGTGATTTTCTTGCCAAAGACAAATTAGGCTAAAAATAATAATTATTTTATCAAGGTGATGACTGGTCGACATCTGATCAACTTATTTTGCAGAATAAATGTGTCTAATTTTGCAGAATAAATGTGTCTAATTTTTGCTCAAAGTCTGTTTTCATCCTAGGTAAAGATGAATCAAAAGCCCTAAAAGAGATGCATCTTTTATTACATCTCTATGAAAATGCAACGCTGTTTTTGAGCACATATGTTTGGTGAAGAAATAAAATCCTTCCTCCTGGAAGAAATCCAGCATGCCAGAGAAATCACAAATGACTGATTTTGTGACTGGTTAATGATTTCTATTGATTTGGTCATATTTTTTTTAATATATATATATATTTTTTAAAAAAGACCTAATAATGACCTATTTCTCCTGGTGAGTTCACAATGCGGTAACATTCAGTAATGTCTCCTGAGCCTGGCCCAGTTCAGAAATATGTTTATGTTGGGAAGGACAGGCTAAAACAGCTTTAAAAAGATCCTTAATCTAGAGTGACAAAGATTATAACAAATGGTTGCTATGAAGACTTGGTCAACACAAGATGCCACTCTTTGCTTCACTTCTTCAGAGAGTCTGAAAAAATTCAATTTGTCACATTTATGTATGACAGAAAGTAGTCATTTATATTTAGCTGTTAATGGTTGCGTTATTTATGCAACTTGTTTGCTAAAAACAAACTCTTCTCAACATAAATCGTGAATTTATTTGAAGGATTTTTTTTGTTCCAGTCGCTTACCAAGGGAGCCAATTGATCTGTCCATGCATATATTCAACACAAAGTTAAAGTTGTAGTTCAAAGTCTTCATAGAGTTTTTTGTTCACTTGCAGCAAATAGATCGACCTTTAAAGTTGATTAATTGATCATTTACATTTTGTAATTGATTATTTAGGGAGTATATTTTTGAAAAAAACAACGTAGTTGACAGTAATTAAGTCAAACATTTTGCATGCAAGACAAAAACATAACTTCGTTTGGTTCAAATTCTGTTTTAAACAGATTTCCTGGAATAATCTGGCAAGATTCTTTATCACACCTGCTCAGAAATCCTCCTATATGTTGGGGAAAATGTGGAAATCAATACGCTGTCTTTTGAGATCAAACTTCTTATGTATTTTGGCATAATTCCTCAAGAAGCTTCAAACAGGAACAAATATCTGATGACTGTTTTATTAATAGCAAGTAAGAAAGACAACTGATAACCTAGAAAATGGTTATCATTTTTTCCTTCGGTTCCTTCTTTCACACTCTTTTGCTCCTGGCATTATAATCTTTGTCAGGGAAGTGAACTTTTTGTTTTTACAGTTATGATGCAATGGTCTTCTTGTTCACCTTATTTCAAATATTGAAGTTAATTTCGTGATGTATCATGTAAATGATACTTCCTTGAGAATCAATAAAGATAAAATAAAAAATAAACTGACAAAAAGACTTCCTATTAAGCACCTTTTGCTATCCAAGTGTCAATCAAAAATCAACAGGTCACTGTGGATGTCAAGTCGAGCAGAAAGGGCCGATCTTTTCACAGCTTGATGGAGAAAGGATTTTATTTTTTTCCCGCATCCTTTGGTACAAATGATGATGCGTAAACTAAAAAAAAGTTTGCATTTGAGGCAATAAAATGTTCATCTTCTTATATTGTATAAAAAGACTCAAGTGGTTAAATGAGGAGAGATGTGGCCATATTTTAATCCAATTAATCGATTGATTAAAATCGATTAATCGTCAGACAATATTCTGACGATTATTGGCAGAATAATCGTTTGCTAAAATAATCATTAGAGGTAGAGAAGTCTGGAAATGGTCCCAGATCTAGTCAAATCTGTCATTTTGACTCAGAATACAGCAACAGATGGTCCAGTATGTAGTTTCTTTTTAAGTGGAATAACTTAAACGCAGCATATTTTTTTCTCTGTACAACACTGATTTAATGTTTTTTTCCCCTCCTCACTTCACCAGACAATGTCTGTGCTACGAGGCGTCTCAACCCACGGGGAAGACGCCACGACTGACAGTTTCATCGGGTTCGACTCGGTCCCTGACAAAGTGGCGGATGGCTCAGTGGTGCGTGTGCGGTATCGCTGCTCCGGGCCATGTCAGCTCGCGGTGGAAGTCGTGCTGTCGACATTAAGGAAGACGGATCTGGTGATCTTCAGGAGAAAATGGATCAGCAGCGCACCTCAAACGCTCCGGGTCCAACGGGTGTTGCTCAGACTGCCTCCGTCCACATCTCGTTCCCACGAGAGCGCGGCAGACACCCAGAACGTGACGCTTCAAGCTCGGTTGGATGATCTGAAAGAAGGCAGCGACATCGGCTCCGTGGTGGGAAGTCATAAGGTGCAGCGGGTCGTGCCGTGGCCGGGGACGGCCCCCGTTGGATGTGCGTCACGGCCCGCTCAGCTCGCCTGGCTGACATCCAACGACACGATCCATCAGTGTCCACATGAGACAGGTTCACACCCTCAATCTGTGGTTTTCTCTCCATACATTAGCGGCACAATGGGGAAAGCAAGTACCAAGCAGGTCAACATCGTTCTGAGCAACACTGAAGCTACTGAAGGTCACAGGAGATGTCAACAGTTTTTATTAGTACTTAGAAACTGAGGAGTACTCAGTACTTTTACAAATTTTGAGCACACTTAGAAAGTCCAGAGGATATTTATCTATAAACCCAGAACAGGGATTAGAACAAACTCAGAATCCAGAAACAACGTTTTAGACTCCTGTTCTCCCAACCCGGAAACAGAATTAGACCAGAGGATACTCATCTATCAACCCTGAATAGGAGGATCTAGTTTATCTTCTTTGGATCAACATTATTAGACTATTTTTTTAGACTTCTAGAAAGTTGTCTAATCATGTCATACCAGAGGAGACTTAGCAACCCTGAACAGGAGCACATAGCTTACATACTTTGGATCAAAATTAATTATTTTTCTTGTTTGCTCTTTCCTTTGGTTTGTTATTTTGTTTGTATTTCCTTTTTGAAGCATTTGCATTGCCTTGTTGCTGAAGATGTGCTATATAAATCAAATTACCTTTATCTTTACCGAACAACAAGCCAAATAATCCGCTCATAGAGATGTCTGCACTGGATGCTTTTATATCTGAGCATGAAGTGTCATTTTGAGGGCTTTTAACCCACTTCATGTTGTCAACAGGGTTTATTTAAATGATTTTACTGGCAGCAGTCAGGCTGGTAAGCCAAGTGAAAACGGACTAGGAAGCGGCAAGATTCAGCAAAGTAGGCATTTTCAATTAGGGTGAGGTTCATTTGGATAGTTTTTTCTTCAATAAATACTATAATCTCTTTATTCTGCATTTAGAATTAAAATGGTTTGAAACATTCAAGTCTGACCCCAAAAAAGAAGAAAATTTGCAGTGGAACAAATGATGTTTGCGTTGGCCGTGCGTTCCTAACTGTGTCTTTAAAACGCTGTGTTTCTGCACAGATGAGATCGATCTGCTGACGTTCCCCTGGCCAGCACCGGGGAGCGCTTCGGGGTGGTCCGCCGGTTCCGGCCTTTCATCAGCGGCGCGCTGGAGAGAGTCCGTCTCCGTGCGGTAACTGAGCCCAGGTGGGCTTCGCCCGGCGACTCCTAATTTACCTCTTTGCAGCCGACTCTTGTTCTGCTCAAGGCTCACCTGCACAGCGGGCAGCAGAACCTCCCCTCGGCACCCCTCGCTGCGTCTGCACATATTGTGCCAAATGCTTAAAAAAGAGAAAAAGCGAGCCTCTTGGTCTATTTGACACGTTAAACACCATGAAGACGCTGGCTTCAGGTGACGACTGAGTGTGTCTGACACAGTGGCGTGTGTTGAGAGCTGCAGGTCGACCGCCGCAGGTCAGCGGCTGTTTCTCTTTCAGCTCCTGCCGCAGCTTTCACTTGTAATTCACCATCTTTCTAAATGACTTTATGAGCTCCGCCAAGCCTCTTCACCCAAGCATGTAAGCTTTTTATTTACGGTCAGTGCGAGAAAGAGCAAGGTCAGGCGTTTTTTGTTTTTAGCAGTCAAGCAGAGAGTTTTTTTTTTTTTTTTTTTTTTTTAATTCAACCCTCATGCCTGACTGGGTAAAGAAATGATTTGTCCCATCATGCCTCGTTGTTTGTGTCTCCAGCACCGCTTTCTCCGTGTGGATCTACCTGCTAAAACCGTGTCAGAAGAAGCGCTGCGGGATCCTCCATCACGTGGATGAGGAACAGCTCTTTGACTCGGTGCTGATGCAGCTCTCAGAAACAGGTGGGTCACGGCAGCTTGTGTAGACACATCCTGCCGTGGAGGATTTGGACCCGGGCCGCCGGGGAGACGATTGCGAGCGATGATGTGTGTTCTGGTCGACTCAGGAACAGACTGTGTTATGTATTAATAAAGAGCTTTGGATTTCCTCTGGCGAAATATATGACTGTCATATCTTCTGTGCAGGAGACATCATAATTCAGGCCCGCCTGACAACCGGGGAAGATGAAGCATTTCGAACCCACTTAATGTTGCCCCTGTGGAAATGGATTAGATTGGACTGTTACATACTGGACTCCAAGGTAAAAAAAAAAAAAAAAAGAAAAGCACCAACATGCGGTTTTGGGGTGGGCGGAGGAGGAATTGAAGCTTAAATTGAGCAAGCACAATCATCTGTTTCCTCCTGAGCCACGTCTGCTGGTCGGGCTCTTTGTTTCCTGCTGCAAGATCTTGAACGATGGTTTCTTTCCAACTGGGAGATTCAAGGCAATTGTAGTCTGTTTTCAATTTGAAGTTGTCCACAGTTCAGTAGCTTTTTTTCTGCTTTCTTTTTGTTTTTGTTTTTTTGCTGAGCTTTTACCTTGTTAAGTTGGACTTCCAGGTGCTGCTGAACGTATCGTGGGACGATGAGAGCCACAGATTTGAATACGTGTAAGTAAAACCAGTTTGTTTATGTAAATCGATGGGGCATAAATTTTGCCCTTATGTTTTGTCATGTGGTCACACAAAATTCCAGTAGGTAACGTAAATATCCTCACCTTCATATTAGCCTAAGTCATTATTTGTCACAAGTGATTTATAAAAAAACAAAACAAAACAAAAATCTTTGTCCCTTTTACTTCAAAAAAAAGAGTTTGCCCATCGTTTCAGGAAGATGAGTGTGCAACCTCATTGCAGCCGATTGAGGGAAAAATCTGCTTGGTATCTCATTATTTAGTTTGAACACACAGCTTTAAATGCTTTTAAAAATCTTTCAGATTTAGGAGCAGTATCCACTTCGACGACACAGACGGATACTTTGTGATCGGAGGAAGCAGATACATGACTGGCTTCACTGGCTACTTTGGGCCTTACAAGTATTATCGTCTCGGCACCGGCGAGGTGACATTTCCCACTCGGCAAATCGCAAACAAGTGTTTGTTCCGTTCCTCGACTGTCTGCTCCTGTTTTGACTTCCACTGCTTTTCATGTTCCAGATAAGAAATCAACTTCACTCCATGTCGACAGCACAGGAGCTGGACAGGGCTCAGGTGGCGTGTCAGGAAATGAGAACGTTGGCAAAAGCTTTTCTGCACCAAGTAGCCGAGAGTCACCTTCTGTCCCCGACTAACGAAGGTGACACACTATTTTGACATGTCCTGAAATTGTGATGTTGCAGCCAATCTACAGAGAAGCACCTTGTGGGAGTCTGATTTTAAAGGCCCCAACACTCGAAGCATACAGCTTACAGGGAATGTCGTCTTCTCCCTTTTATTTCAGCTGTCTGCTTTAACGACCTTCTGGGACGCTGGGGTCAGTTTGACAACAGAGAGGCAACGTGCATGCAGACGTGGAGCGTGGAAACGCAGCAGAGACACGCCACGCTGTTCCGTTTCCTGCAAGGAGTGGAGGAGATTATCCAGAGAGGTGACAGAGATTTACATGCCAAGTGAAGAAAACGCACGCCTTTCCATCCGCCCGGTCACGCCGTTAATCTGTTCCTGCAGAACGTTTGGGTATGAAGCGCCTCGGAAGCGTTTTGTTCGAGCTAACGATTGGCGCCGACTTCCTTGTGGAAGGGAAGCAGATAAAGATCCCGTCCGAATCGATGGATCTGCTGCAGGCGTCCTCCTGCTTTGGGAATCACAGAGCGTCTTTGTTGCTGGCCACCATCTACCTGTCTGGCCTGGGTCGCCCTGCCGATCAAGAAAAGGTAAAATCCACGGCCTTCATTTTATCCAACAGGACACAAAGCAGAGCTCTACGGTGAAGTAGAAGGGAACGATGCATCATTTTCAAAACGTTCTTAAATTGAAATTAAATTCTTACGTTTTCTTTTTAAACTGCCACAGGTTTAGATCCAGGTCTGGACTTAGACTAGGCCATTTTGCGATATAAGGCTTTGATCTAGACCGTTACTAGTTTGTCTGCATGTTCAGTCACGTTCTGTGTAGGTTTTCTCTCTGGTCTTTTCTCTCTCGCTTTCTGCAGGTGTAGAGACAGACTTCTAGGGCGTTTTCTTGTAATTCTCTCTATCCTCCTTTGTTTCCTGTACTCTTACTTCTTCTCACCGTGGGACTCAGACAACAATTATCGCCTGGTGACTGGACGATGTTTGTCTTTGCCACTGGCTCACTTCTGTTGCCAACCCGTATGATGCTAAAATCGTTTGGCATTGCGATATATAACATAAGAGATTTTCTTTTGTACATTTCTGTCAAATTTGAGTTGGTGAAACGTTCTGTTGAACTAAGTAATGTTTTGTCTGTCAACTTGATTTCATTGAGGTGTATGAGAATGAAGGGAGATAAATATTTTGCAACCTAAAAAACACCACGTGTCATGTTCCTTCCACAGTCTTGCTCTATTTTGTGTTACTCTCCTGAAGTAAATCCAAATAAAAAGCACTAAAGTTTTGTACTCAACGAAACGCGAATAGAGTTCAAGGGATATGCATGCTTTAGCTTCATCTTTCTGTATTACACCTACTTGAGAACGAGTGGATTTTACACCTAAAGTTCAATCTAATCTGTTTCAGGGTCACGCCTACAGTTTGATTGGTGCCGCGGGTGACGACCGCTTCGCCCTGATGCAGGCGGGGTTCAAGCACGTCCACGGACTCGATGGTTTTCCTCAAGATTTGGACGTGGCTTACGGCTACTACTCCAACGTCGGCTCACAGAGCAGCACCGACAGGTTGCGAATACATGAACATGAGGTGACAATCGCTGCGACTTTGTCAATTCGTTAGGATTTTAAGATAACAGGTGGTCATGGCAAACTGAACCTAACAAAATGACAAAAGCTGAAACGTTTTAGTGAACAAAAAAAGGAAAAACGGTGATTACTGGGGAAAACGTATAACAGGAATTACGTTGTTTGTTTATTCAACTAACTAAAATATACTGAGATTATAAATATATAATATTCTTTGTTCTTGTGTTTATTATTAGCCTTTTAGACTACAGTGCTAATGCTAGTCCGCAAAATGGCTACAGCAAAAGCTGAGATAAAATTCAGCTGGTTGTTCAACAGTAATTGAATACATTTTTTGATAACTGTGTCATCTGTTGATTAATCATTTCCAGTGGATGTATGCATAATCATAATACAATACTTTGACCTCTGAGTTTTTCCACCGTAGGAAAAAGTAACTACTACGACTAATAGGAGCAAAACAATATTTAACTATTAGGAACTAATAAAAACTATCAATCCGACTCTAAAAATGAATGAAAACTCGCAATGAAAGTCGCAACAGAACAAAACTAAACTCAAATGAAAAACCCAAAACTATCACAACCTGTGGTCGTTACTAGAAATGATGCCCGATTTCATCATTTTGTTATTTAGACCGAGCAGTCCGGCCTGTTTGGGTCAGCACAGCCTTTTCTCTGCATATTGCTGTTGTTCCTTTTTCAGGAAGAAGATGGAATTGATTTTGCTGTCAGTCTGTCAGCTCTTTCTGAAGCCAGACCCAGCAGCCGGTCCGTTTCACTCTAATTTAAGAAAACCACAACTTAAAAGTGACACCTCGTAAGAAACTGCGATTGCCATTTGTTTCGACACCTAATGAACAAAGCAGATGTGATCGATGCAGTTTAAATTTTACCCAAACTTCCCGTCTCTCGTTCAAACTGATATGAGTATCGATCTGCTTCTCATCTCCCGGTTAGAACGGGGATACAAAAGCGATAACAGGGAGTTTTTCTTTCCCAGCAGACAAAACCTGCGTCACATCTGGCAGCGGTTTCCTAAAACGTACCGACTCTAAAAATATGATTAATTGCATGTTTGTTTGTCCAGCCAGCTGGACTGAGAGGAGGCTGCAGGAAAAGGGAGAACGGATGAGCTCTAAATCTTCATTTAGAAATCAAGCCGTCTTGATGAATGCCAAAGAGCACTCGGAAGATAAGAGGCCCCGCTACGAGAGAAAAGCCTGCTTCCTTCTGATTTCCTGTTTATTCTATCAGTATTTCAATAAGCTCCATCTAATGAAGAGAGGTGTGTGAAAACACCAGAGGGACCCGGCTGTTGTGCTTCATCCTGAACGGGGAATCGATGGAGCATGAAAGCAATAATGATGAATAAAAACTAAAAACGAGGCATTTAAAAGTTTGACCGGAAGGACAAAATCAGATCAAAGTGCAACAATCATCTATTCTTGGAAACGTTTTCAACAACTCTCTAAGATGCAGAGATGTATTTTAAAAAGGGATGTGAGTCAGAACGCCACTCTACACCGATGTTTGTTGTGACTGCAGAACTGTCAGTCAAGTCGGATCAAACCACACCCACGCCGTCCTCATTATTCAGAGGAGAGATATTTTTGTGCTCGAAACTAATTGTGGAATAAATCATGAATATTCAAAGCAACTAAAAACACATCTGGGTCTCTGTTTAGCTCTGCACTTCCACGAACTCTTCGGCTCGTGGTTTAGTTCGCACGTCTTTAATCGGCTGGTTCTGATGTCGCTGTTCTTTTGGAGTAAGTCGAGTTTGATTGTGTCGCGCGTTTCGGCGGCATGGGAGTTCAAAGTGCTTTATACCATAAAAACGTCATGAAACAAGCAACGGACGTTAAATGCTGTCATCAAGCAATTGACATCAAATGTGTCAATGTTCTCAGTTACTACTAATCAAAGGCATCTCTATAAACAGGTGGGTTTTCAGCCTTGATTGAAAGGAACTGGACGTTTGTTCCAGATTTATGGTGCATACTAAGTTAATGTTTGGTATAAAAGGAAACCAGAATCTTAGATAAACTCATTGGGGATTTGTTGAGGGATGAATCATTAGACAACAAATTCAACCATTTCTTAAAACTAGAATTAGTTTCGAAAAGAACACGTTGTTTCACCATTCGACCTTACCAAACGAAAAGTTGAACCGCTTCAGAAAAAGCCTAAAATCTGTATGATGTACATCTTGATATTAAACCAGGTGTGTGTCTCAACTCAACACTGCGGTTGATTCACACTGATTGGATATGAAATTTGCCTAATGAATGATAATGATGCAATCAGCGAGGGAGATGTGTCATATCTAATGACTGTGAGTGTTTACAAGGGAAGTGTTATTATTAACAAAAACCCACTTTGTGCTTTAACAAGTTTAACCACCGTAATCACCGTGTTTCTCTTCCCCGCAGCAATACACACCTCACTTTATCTATTTAGGCAACGAAGACGATCTGAACTCCCTGACGGACGAGTCCAGTGACGTCTTTCGGTATCTACAGTACCAAGCGGAAAGGGGAGACCTGGAGTCTCAGGTATGTTTGGCTGCATACTCACCCCACCCAGGAGTCCAAATTCACGGCATTCGATTCATTTGTTATCATTCAAATGAGTTCTGCGTGGTTGTCCGGTGGAAAGGTGCATAAAAAGTGTCATGTCTCCTCTGCGGTCGGTGGTGGAGTCGGCGTCCAGAACAGACCAATAAAAACTCTATTAACTTTAGAGACGTCTGGGAACAATGCTTTACTGGGGACAAAACGGAGTCTCCAAAGACATCGCCAGCGCCGTGAAGTGGTTTGAGAGGAGCGCCATGCAAATGAAGGATCCTGAGGCGGTCTACGACTACTCCATCCTGCTAATGAAGGTCGTGCAAAATCATAAGGACCTTATTTTACGACTGAATTGAACACAGTAGTGTCTGACTGCGTGTATGTGTGTTTCTGTGCGCACGCCGCCTCTGTTTTGACACTTATTGATTTGCTGATTGATGTTGATTCCTTCAGGGCCAGGGAGTGAAGAGAAACTACACTCAAGGTTTTCAGCTGCTGAAGAAAGCGGCTGCGATGGTGAGCGAACAGCAATCAATCGGTGTGTTTACTCCATATAGGAGCTCACTGTGAAAACCGCTGTCTGTTTCCTCCACCCCCACGCTTCAGGGCTCAATTAATGCCCTGAACGGCTTAGGCTGGTACCATGGGATTGTGCTGAAGGACCACAGAAATGCGGCAAAATACTTTGAACAAGCCGCCCTGAATGGGAGTGATGATGGGATGTTCAACCTGGGAATTTATCATCTCACCGGGGAAAACCCGGACAAGCCGTGGAGGAATGAGGTTTTTAATTTTTTAGTTGTTTTATTTTCAGACCCTCGCAATCGGTTCCGCAGCCCAGATGTAATCGTTTTGTTTCTTTTCTGATCCGTGTCTTTACCTCCATCCACAGAGCGCCGCGTTCGAGCTGTTCCTGAACGCCTCCCGCTTCGGCCACGCATTCGCATCGGTGGAGGCGGCGTGGTACCTTTCGACAGGAAGCCTGTGGGGGGTTTCTCAGGACGTGGAGAGGGCCGTGACGTAAGGGGCTTCTCATTAGCTTGGTGAAGAAAGCGCCGTCATGGGCCGTAGCCTGCAGCTCGGTGCCATCCAATGTCAGTGACGCTGGCTAATTCAAGGTCACATAGCAGCATTTGCATATCTAAAAATATGAGCTGTTGCCACTGCATTGTTGTCTGGCACACAGAGGTTCTGTTTAACCAAACTCCAATGAGTACAAAGAGCAGGTTTGCTGCTGCTGCTGCTGCTTTTTGAACTGATCTACTCCCTGAGCCCTTTCGCATTTTATATTACAATCACAACATATTTCATAGCCGATATACCAACACAAATGATCTGATATCGGTGAATAGAAGTAAAAGCAAAAACCCCCAAAACACACCAATTTATTAGCAATTAAAATCTGAGAATTGGGACGTTTCAGTATTCAGCCTGGTGTTATCGGAAAGACCTAAAGAAAGAAGTGTAGCAAAGAATCAGACGACACCTAATAGATATCAGTCGTAGTTTGACTGAATTACCTCTGTGTTTACGAGTACATCATGAAATGTTTAATATTTTGGTCACTAATATAAATTTAATAAAAGTAGGCCGAAACACTTCAAGCTTTTACTTACTGTAAATTTGATGAAAACTCAAAGTTCAGTGTCTCTAGATGGTAACATTGTGGAAAAGGCTAAATATTAGAAACTTATGATGTCACACCATCAACAAAGGTTTCCTGAGCCTTTAAACGGTCTCTCACTCTGAGTCAGCAGGCAACACAATCGAAAAGTTGTCACTAAATAAGCTGGTGGCTCACAGAGTTCTGCATCCTGGCAAATTTATAGAAAACTGAGTAGGAGACAAAAAATCGTTTGGTAAAGGAAACGGTGCACCAGAAATTAAGATTGTCCAGCAAAATCCATTCAGGTTGAGGCTGCAGTCGGGACACAGACGAGAAACTGAAAACCCAGGCTTCACAATGAAGTATGGTGGTGGTGGCATCGTGGATTGGTCTAGACTCATCTTCTGTCCACACGAAAACAAACAGAACCAGAACCACGATGGGCGAGTGATTGCTTGGCTCTGAAACCAAAAGAAAATCTTTTCATAGACACTCGCATTGCAATCTGACTGACGTGTCAAGATTTTCTAAATGAATCTGACATTTCAATTGGCGTTTAGACAAAAAAAAAAAAAAAAAAACACCGACTGAAATCTGAAATTAAATATTGTTTCCCACCACCCTGATGGTACAAACAGCTATTTGGAGAAACATTCAGCCATTTTAAGTCTCTAGAAGAGGAACACTGATAGACATTACACGACATACACAACATTTTGTTGAAAACAAAAGAACAAAAAATTGAAAAGCAAAGACTCTTTTCCTTCCGCTTCACAATTGTCCGCTACGCTACACTGGTCTGTGACGCGCGATCTCAATAAAAAAGCATTTTCTTATTGCTTGAATCCTTTTATGCTGAGTTCAAATCATATTTTTCATATAACTCGTTGCACAGATTACTGCAAAATGTCTGCAAACACAACGGCCACCTGGGATTCATGATGAGGGAAGCTCTTCAGGCCCACCTCCAGGGAGCCTGGTAGGAAAATATATATATATTTTCACTTTTATTTCTCTCGTGTTGATGCAATCCTTTCCCTCTGATCTCCGCTCTTTGTCTGCTGTCTTTGCGCTGTGTGGCGTCACCAACAGGGAGGAAGCGCTTGTGAAGTACATCCTGGCCGCCGAAACCGGCCTGGGTTTAGCCCAGAGTAACGCCGCTCACCTGTGTGAGGTACGCACACACTCACGCCTCCTCCGGTACTCCAGCCGCCGCCTTTTTAATCCGACTCCGGTCCAGTTCCGCATTTAATGCATCATAATTGGAGTTGTGATTGTGGCTAATGGACAAATCGCTCACAATTCCAGTCACACGCTAAGTGAAGAGAACTATCCCAGAGGGAAATTATTAGCGGTTGATAACACGCCCTTGTTATTGCTCTGCTCTCTCCCGACCAAAAAGGAGCTGGGCGTCGGTTATGACTGTCAGTGGAGATATCGCAACCACTCCATATTAAACTCTGATCCTCATCCATCCAGTGAGTTCATCTTGTTTCATTTTGCTCCAACCTCTCAGTCTCTTTCTCTGACAGTCTGGTCACTGAACAAGCAAATATGTGTCTTTTTTTAAATTTTTTTTATAGCCCTGCTGGAAATAGGAGACTACTACTACTATTCCTCCGCCGGCGCTCAGAGGAACTCATTATCCTTGGCTGAGCAGGCTGTATCGATGTATAGCAGAGCAGCTCTGGCGGGCAGCCCTCAGGTGACAGATTTACTTGAGCTGTAATCTCATCACCCTATGATAAACTTAATTAAACTTCCACAGGCTTGGGGCCCGGCGCAATAAAAACAACAAACGGCGCCACACGCTGTTATTATTTGGAGGCTTTCTGAGTGAATAAGGCGTCAGCCGACCGTTATCGTTCTGTTTTTCCACACCGGCTCGCAGGGAATGTTCAATTTAGCCTTTTTGGCCCAAAAGGGGCACGTCCTTCCACGGAGCGTCCTCGACTTCTTCAACGCGTCACGCGGGGACGGAGTGGAGGCTGTGATGGAGAAGATTTTAAACAGGTAATGGAAGTGTCTGCCCTGCTCTTATCTAATACCACGGTGTGGTGAGGCCATTGTAGATATGGGGAGGGGAGGAGGAACATTTCAGCCAAAAACATTCTGAAATGTTGCTATTAGTCACCGAAATTTTCTGGAAAAAACATAAAAATGTTTGTTTCAAATATTTTCTCAAAGTAAAAAACCAAAAAAACCGTATAAATTTCTGATTTTAAAAGTAGAAAAAAAATTATTTTAAACATTTCTAAATACAAAAATTTTTTAAACTTTTGAAAAACATTTTCAAGTATTTTTTATAATCTAAACTTTGGAGTTTTGAATATTTAAAAAAAAAAGTCAATTATTTTTTTTCTTGAGAGTGTTGTTGACTTTTGGAATCTGAAACGTCCAAGTGTTTTAATTAAAAAATTTGGTTTTGAACATTTTCACAAAATGTTCAAAATTTTCTTGTTTTTTTTTTTTTTTTTGTAGACTTTTGAAGGTCTAAAAAAATCATTAGTCAAAAATGTCTGGATTTTTATACATTTAGGAATTTTATCTCAGATTTTCTGAGTTTAGAACAGTTTCATAAATGTTTTTCTCGCAAATATTTGACTTTTGAAGCTCAGAAAATGTCCTAATTTCAATCTCAATTTTAATGTCTTTTCTAGAATCTTTCTGAGCTCGATCTCAAAACATCTGAGTTGTTCAGGCGTAAATCCACTCCATTTTTTTCCCATCTACAGTGGCCCTGATGCGGTGTGGTACATTTGTACTTATTAAAGCTGATGATGTAACGCAGCTCGCGATGTTTTGTCTCGTCGCTCAGATGTGCGGCGATTGAGGACGATGAGGCCGTCACGCCCTGTTCTGTAGCTCTGCTCGGACTCCAGATGGGAAGAGCCTGGAGGAGCGTGACTCAGAGCCGAGCGCAGCTCCTTTTGGTGAGTCGGCCGTCCCACACTGTGTGCAGCAGGAATAGAAGAGTAGCACAACTCAAGCTTTTGTCCTACTGCGTCTCAGAATAATTCAGGTTTTAATTATAGCCAGGCTTTGAGGTTTTTTTCCCTGTTCACATTTTCTTACTGGCATTAATGTACATTATTGGGATTTGTGTGACAGACTAAACCTTTGTTGTGAAGCGAAAAGGAAACGTTATGTGGTTTTCAAATCACAGTCTGAAAACTGCGGCGTGCTTTTTCGTTTAGCCTTGTTTGTTCTGATTCCTCAAGTTAAAACAATGTGCCGCCAACTGCCTTCAGAAGCCACTTAATTAGTAAAGATGGTTTCTCTGACATCTTATTTAGAAATCCTACTTGTTTCGTTTCTTCTTTTTTTTCTTTTTTCTTGTATGGCAGTCAAAATTACTGTCTGAGCCAAGGAGAAGCCCAACACATTCACTTTCACAAATACTCCACTTGATATGAGCATCCTGTTCGTTCACCAAAACGTGAAGAGAAGAGCTGTCAAGCTAGCTTGATAGACAGATAGCTACACAGCTACCTAGATAGCCAGCTTGGTTATCTGTCCAGACAGCCCAGTGAGATAGTCAGCTCAAGGTCCAACTAAGAGAAAGAACAAAGTAAATGACAACCAAACTTTTAGTTATTTTATTTAAGTCCTTTATTTAAACCCCGTTGAGATCTAGATCTCATTTTCAACAGGGACCTGGGCAGAAGTCTGCAATACACAGCAACCCTGTTACAGAATAAACAATCTAAAAGTTACTTAATCAAAATGTAATAATAGACAACTGTACCAGTGTCTGCTCTACTGTGAATGGTGTTGTGTAAACAATTCATCCTGATTTTCTAAAATTTATTTTCAGATTCATTTAAAGTGTATATAAACTAATACGTCAGATTTCTAAGCAGGGCCTGCAGAGCGTGGACTCCCGCCGTCAGAAACGTTTGGCTTGCCCTGACCCATCTTGGTCTTTTCAGAACTACTCTCAGTGCATCACTGCAGGCAGCAACAAGTCTTCTCTGACTTTTTATATTACCGCAAGCCATCTAGGAGATACAGCGAACATGTAAAAAGAAGGAGTTCTGGTCAGATTAAGCCACGGTTCTTATCTTTAGCCTACATGCTATGTTTGTGTAACAACCTAACATTGTGCGTCACCTTGAGGGAGGAAAGGTGACGCACAATGCAGGGAGACTCGAGACTGCAAAAACCTGCAAAGACTTCCACCGTCCTGCAGTGGAAATGTTTAGATCAAACTACATCCATCTGTAGCAAGACTTGAAAATTGCTTTTCACAGACACGCGCCATCCAATCTGTCTGAGCTTGAGCTATCTGGGAAAAAATAATGAGCAACAAAAAATAACGTGTTATTTTCTTTTCCCTTCACACCGACGGGCCGCTTTGCGTTGGTCCATCACATAAAACCCCAGTAAAACACATAAAGGTTTGTACTTTCATTTCTACACCAAGATGGAGAATTTTGAGATCTGAATTATTTCGAAAGCCAACATGAAATACATCCCACATTTTTATTTTGTTTCACTGCAAAAACACAAAATCTTACCAAGTAATCTTGGTCTAGTTTCTTGTGCAAATATCTTAGCACCCTTGAAATAAGACAAAACTAACTTAGAAAGAGTTAATTTGTTACAAGTAATTGTATTAAGTTTGTCAAATTTTATTTACGTTTGTTTAACACTAAAACTTAATCTTAAAACTTAAACTTAAACATATTTTCTCTGAAAAACTTAATTTGATTACTTGTTGTTTTTGGGGGTTTTTTCAATGTAACTTTTCAGCAAGCTGTATTAGCTTGTTTTGAATCAATAATTCCTTTCTATTGATGAAAAAAAGTACCTGTTCCATTAGCAGACTGTTTCGCTGATAAGACATTTTTCCTGTAAGTGAAATAATGAAATGGTCGCAAAAACAAGCTAATCTTGTTGACAGGTAACTTGTAAGTTATTTTTCCCTTTTTTCAAGTGTACTAATTCATTAAGATTCGTCAGTCAATCGATCAGCTCTATTTTTACCAGTAGGCCGATTCGATTAACAGTTGCAGAAAACTTTGAGCAACACAAAATAAATATAAAATGATTCAAAGTGGCCAGGTGCTCAATACTTTAAAATGTTAAAAATCATTTTTTTAAAAACCAACAAAACAAAAGACTCAAATACTCTGTCCTCCTTATTAGGACAAGATTAAATTAAACAAATAAGCGAATAAAATGATATCAAAACTAATGCCACACTGAACTGTGGAAGCTCACGGCAACAGGAACAAAACTTTTGGGGAAACTAGGTGGGAAATGTTGCGGTGTTGTGTGAGATGAAACATTTGAATCATTAATCTGTCTTTTCCACAGGCGTACGCCGCCATCGTCTCCATATTTGTCTTCATAGTCGTCGTGCCACTGCAGAGCTGCCTGGGTAAGTCGCCGTTTGCTCACTTGCTGACAGCGACCACAAGATGGCGCAGTTTCCCATCTATTAATTCACTTCTTCTTTTCTTTTTTCTATGTCGTGTGTCTTTTACCTGTGTGCGCGCTGCAGAGCGGAGCGGCAGGCTGTCTGTCAGCCAAGCGGACCCGGACCGGGCAGGCGACCCGGGGACAGCGGCGGGGAATTCATGGCCGACCGTGAACCAGCGTCGGCGGCTGAGCTCGGCCGCCGACCTGGCCGTGACTCTGTCGGGCGCGTGCCTCGCCGCTTTCTGGTGCGCGCTGCTTTATCATCTCCTCCGACAGACCAATCAGACTCAATAACCTCAGCAAAGGAGAAAAAAAAAATAAATTAATTAATTTTTAAAAAATTAAATAAAAATCATTTTTCGGAAAACTACTCATGTGTGACTCATTTTTGATAATAATTATAAAGATAGGAGTCATGATGAAAGAGTAGCTTTTATCTGATGGCCCATAATGTCTCATCAGTAGCAGTATCAACTGTTTTATGTTGGTGGGAAAATAAACCACTTATCAGTCAAGTGTCCCTGGATTCGTGTTGCTGCTTGTATTTTTTTATGGTGTGAATGCCTGGCAGGAGTTTGAACCTTCCCTTGTAGGGCATGCAAGTCAGAAACAGATATAAAGTCAATAGTTGGAAAAAAAAAAAGAAAAAGATTCAACCTTAGAGATGATAATGTGGGGAGATGTTTTACCAGCGTTGTTCTAATGAGTCACGTATTAAGGCTTGTCCCCTGGTCCTATCAGCGATGATAAACGCTGCTCAGGAGACAAGGATACACAGCGAGAGCATGTGGGGCACAAATACCTGATGTTTGGTCAGAAACCCCAACGCTGGAATTTCCCATTTTTCTTTATTGATCCAGTCTCTGTGCAGGTGCTTTGGGTCAATAAGATAAGGAGATCCCAGCTGCACTCATCGGTAATAAGTGGCTGGAAATGGAGGTAACTATAGCAACAGGTGATCTTATATATATATATTTTTTTAAACAAATCTTGTGGGCTTTTTCTTGGACAACGGTGCAAAAGGACAAAATCTAGTGGTCCGCTTTCAAGCGCAAATGCCTTAGTACACTTGCAAACGTTTCAGCAACATATGGAGCTCATTTTGAGTCAATAATTTCTTCAAATCTGCCTCTTTTTTTCACTTAAACGTGGGGAGAAATGTCTGTTATAAGTGAGAAAAATCTACCAGTGGAATAAAAAAAAACTAGCTATTATGGTATTAATGTGTCAAAACAAGCTGCTGTATCTTCCTGGAAAGCTTCTTGTCAGCTGTTTTTTTTTTTTTTTTTTTTGTCTTACTTCAAGCCAAGATGTTTGCAGCAGATACAGCCAGCAAAAACCACTTGGTAAGACTTGGTGTTTTTGCCAGGGATGATAAAACAAAACCACATCCGTTAATCCTGTGTGTCAGTAAAACAAAATGCGACGGGAAGTACTCTGTAATTTTGTTGTTGTGCCTGGCAGCCGGCACAAGGGACGGAGCGTGTCACTTCTCCTAACAGTTATTTACACGCCTGAGCGTCTAGGATGTGATGATGTGCAGTCTGTAGCTGGCAGCTGTCAGTAGCTAAATTGGGGAGCTGAGCCGTGTAAACAGCTCAGTGTTGAGCAGCTTCACCTGAAGCTGACTGTGTGTAATTTAAATTGATCAAATGTGGCTCCATTGTCTTAAAAGCGTGAGTCACCTGACTGTGTGTTTTGTTTGGTTTGACTGAGATGTGAGGTCAGCCGTGCAGCTAAAAGACAAAAAAAAAAAGCAACTGCAAAATTCCTCTTATGTTATGAAACAAGGACTACAGACACATTCATGAGTTCTGCTTCTGTGGCAGCAGAAGAGAGACACACAAATCAAACGGTGAAGAGGGTGAACAGCTCCACGACAACAGCTGGAAGTTCAGATTTGAGGCTCAGTTTGGCTAAGAAGAGGTTAAAAAAAAAGAATAAATTAAATTAAAACCTGAAATTATTTTTGAGCTAAATAGATTTACTACGACTGTTCCTTGTCACAGCTGGAAAACGGGTGATCCACTTATGGGTGATCCACTTATGGTTTCATTTTTTTATTTCTTTTAAATAATGTCTGGATGCCCAAATATGGAGGAAGAAAAGGAACAAAATATCAACTTTTATTGACAAAAATGCAATTTTAGGGGAAATGAAAAGGAAAACATATTCCCATACATTTCTTGACGGAAACTCGTGTGAGAACAAGGAAGAACTAAATATATATTTATGCTTTTATTTCTTATTTTGTCAGTTTTGGTCCTCCATACCCAAGGGCCAATTTTTCGAATCTTAACAGTTTGGCATGCACTTCTCACTCCAAGATTTTAGTTGTTCAAATTGATGGACTTGCTGTGATTCTTCACTTCCTGAATGTGTCTTTTTCCACAGACGGACTGATGTGTAACAGAAAACTGCACTGTAGTCCAAAAATAATGATGCATCCAGACTCATAAATATATATAGAACCAGAGTAATATCAGAATCCACAGTTTCTTTTTTACTTCTACTTCAATTTTGCTCCCATGTTTGACCCTGTTCTCTTGTTCATTTAAGTTTTTTTTGTTCTGCCTTGCATACATCAGGCTGGAAAGTACAATGAATACAATTACCATAAAATCTAAGTGAGGTTTTAGGGGAAACCATTTCAGAAACTTGACGTTAGCTGCTTTGTTGTTGTTTGTTTCTCCGTGGACGTGCGGTGGCCCGCGGCTGCCGTCGCAGCAAAAGTGATTCTAGTGAGCTGAACAGGATCGGATGCCACATTTTAAGATTATTTGCAAAAAAAGAAAAAAAATGAATAGGGAAGAAAAGAAGGGAAATTGAGAAATAGCACAATGTTTATAGCACAATTAAGTAAGTATGTTAACTTCAGTTATTAAAATGCTGTATATATCAGATATGACTCAAAATAGATTTGACTTTGCAATTTAAGGCCATGAAATGGGTTCTCTGCTCTTTCTGAAACAGGAAGTCACCACAACATGCCTCCTCTATTCCACCGGATGGTTTGCTAATTGCCGCTGGCTAGTCTGAAGGAGCTGAGGAGGGAGAGTTGTGGGGAGGGTTGCTCTGTGAGCTGGAAGCACCGAAGTGTTAGCTGCAGGGAGGAGGAGCTTTGTCTCAAAGGCGGGGCTAAATCCAACCAGGCATTTTGATTAAAGGATTTCTCAAACATGCGTGACAGGACCAAAGAAACACTCCCATGTATGTTTTCGGTGAGGGAATACCATTATAACATGACATAAAGCTAAAAAAAACTTAGTTTTACATCATACCGTCCTTTTAACAACTTGCGAAAAGGTTCAAAGGGAGGAATTTTCCCGGCAAGTGCTCTGTATATCATTTAATCGCCATCTCATTATACCACTCCTGCAGAGAGACCGGTTCCAAAGAAGATTGTCCAACCTCAGCTGGACTTTGGAAACACCTGGGAAGAATACTCACGGATGATAATGACATGATAAAAGGCAATTCAGATGAAAACGCACTCCCAGAATAGACAGGCTGCTATCTAATCACTGTTAAGGGATTTTTGTCCAGCGGTCAACCCGTCTTCGGGCGGTATTAATTAGCCGCCCGAAGACGGGTTTGTTTCTGGAAACATTCTTTCCTGAGGAATTCTTTTGATGCCAAAATGTTTCCGAGAAGAGCGGGAGGAGCGTCTCCAAGCCGCCACATACAGGAAGCTGTTAACAAGTTCGCGCTCTAACGCAGCTACTGGGCGAGTGAGCGAGCGATCTGGTTTCAGTCGGGAACGTTATCAAGTGTTCTGCGGCCAAACAAGACATTTTCTTCGCGAAATGATACAACTCCCAGCCTGACTCGAGGTCAGAGCGGAGCTTTCCACAAATGTGTCACCGGCCAACATAACGAATAAAATGTTCTGTGCTCCTGTGCTGCGCCCACACACGCTGCATCAGGGCTTTTTTTCTGTGCGTGTGGAAAAGCTACATGAGACGACTCAGGTCATCGGCTAGATAGCGACTTCTGCTCCTCAGGGAGAGTGAGCAGGTCCCCAGGGGTCAGAGGTCACACTGGGTTGCTCAGTCTGAGCTGTCACCACTTAGCGCAAGCACGAATAAAGGAGTTATTCAGGATGAATCCGCCCTCCCTTGTGCTACATTCATCACTCTGGGGAGGTGAACGTCGACTCAGGCGTGGAATAACTCTGAGCCAAAAGAAATAATATGTTTTATCAGATTCATATTAGAAGAAATTAAGAAATTAGTTCATTTTTTGATTTTTTTTTTTTTTATGCTTCAGGTGGATTGTAAGTGGACTTACAATGCAAATCTAAAAGCTTTAGTTGAGTTTGAACCACAGAAATAAATCAGATCTCTGTCTGTCTTCATGAAAACTGCAGCAGGAAACTGCGTAGATACTAGAAGTGGGCGTATCGATCCAGAAATATCGATAATATTGGCACCAAGTCGGTATCATTATCAGATCAGTACCAGCGTGGTAAAATCAGTGCTTTAGATTCCCTCTCGAAATTTTAGATTATTTTCGTAGTTTCTCAGGTCTACCTTGAAACAGATTTTTTTGGCAGATTTTTAAAACTGTTTTGCGCAAACCACAACTTTTTTTGACAATGTCGCAGGTTGCCAGGCGAGGTGCTGGACTGGGCTTGGAGTTGCACAATAATTTGTCCATCGATTTTCATTATTTTGCTGTTGGGCAAGCAGGAGATACACAAACAGAGGCACAGAAACATACGTAAAAGTGAATTTGGCAGAACGGTGGACCTTGAAGGTATTTTGTTGATGCCCAGGGCCGTGCAGAGACTAGTAAAGGGGCAGGCGCTCAAAAAAAAAAAAGGGCACATCAAATCACATTTCAGGACAGAATATTAAAGTCACACAGCTCTCAGAGTTTAATTAACAATGATAGATTATAAAATTGTGAGACATACAATCAAAGAACATCTGCTTGGGTTGCTGTACTTGCAGTGGAGATGAAGACGGTCCATTCAGAAAAGCAGAGCTGCTTGAGCTCTGCAGTTAGCCGCCTTATCTCACCGCGCGAGAGGCAAGTGCGTCGTGCGTCACGGGCAAAAGGTCAAAGGTAACAATGTGACCAGAGGGCTTATTGTGTTGTTTTTCTTGCAAAGTAATAATAATAATAATAGTAATAATAATAATAATAGTAATATAGTAATAATTGTAGTACATGTGTAAGGGAAAAAAAACCCAAAAGGGCACTTGGGGCCATGGAGCAATAGGGGCAGGTGCTCAAGCCCCCAAAGCACCCCCCTCTGCACGTGCCTGTTGACGCCTATAAACTTTGTTGAAATTCTGTCCTTGGTTTGAACAAAATACATAAATAAATAAAAAGATAAATAAATAAATGAAGTACAAACTACAA